AAACAGTGACTCCCGCACGAGGTTAGCAAAAGCATTTGCTTTAATGATTCTAAAATGTTGATCTACTCGATAACATTGGAAGAGTATGCGGGCTACTCGTGAAAGAATCACCTATGTGAGAGAAGAGGGCCGCTTCAAAGGAGAACTGTTTAGGCCTAGTTCTTTAGAAACTCTTGCAGAACCAGGATGGTGACCCATGGCCACAACGGGCACACCCATGAGAACGGAACAAAGTTGGAAGGTTTCTGTGTAAAGATAGGTCAATGTCTACGCGACGGAAGTATAATTCAAGGACATCGAGTCTACTAGACAGCCAGTAAATAAACATGTCTTTACAATGGAAGGTTCAAAGGATAAAACCTACCTCTCCGTACGCAGGGATCATCCAGTGAACACAACGTGTCCTCCTATCTTCGTGTCTTTTTAAAGTCTCAAAAATCAATTTACATTCATGTGGGGGATTGTTGGAAATTGTGTTAATACATTGCATTAAATGGTCATTTTGGAGCAATTATTTGAGTCAGGTCCACTTCTGATTTGGGTCAGGTCAAAGTGGTTTCGGATTGTCCTTGCTAAGTGCTACAATTCAATATGTGGTACACTCAAAACTGATAACGGGTGAATTAGAAATTGATTCTCGAAGTTCACTCGTTGAAATAGAGAAAACTAGGAATATGATGGGTTTCTAGTGTGTTTCATCCCACACCGGAAACCCTAAGGGATTTCCACCCCCTTATAAAGGGAACCCTCTTTGAAGGAGTTAAAATTCCTACGGAGAAAGGCTCTCTTCGCGCGCAGGGGCGGAGTGCCGATCAAATCTCAAAATCGGAGAAGAAAAATCGCGACTCGTGTGCGCGGGTGACCTGCGGACACGGTGCGCGGGTGACCTGCGGACACGGTGCGCGGGTGACCTGTGGACACGAATGTTGTTCGAAAAATCTATCTTCTAAAGATAACATTAAGTTTTGGTTTTCCATATTTTTCTCCAGGTGCGGCTCGCGCAACAGGCGTCTGCTCTTAGAGTAGGTGGCTCACGCAGCAGGCTGCTGCTCTCTGAGCAGCAAGCTACTGCTCGACCCTGCTGCTTTTACAAGCCAATAAGATTAAGTTTTTTTCCATTTTTTCTCCAGGTGCAGCTCGCGCAGCAGGCGTCTGCTCTCCGAATAGGTGGCTCGCGCAGCAGGCTGCTGCTCTCTGAGCAGCAAGCTACTACTTGACCCTGCTGTTGTCGTTACAAGCCAATAAATGTCCAACGGTCATGCAATTAAACGGGCAGTTACGGACGAATCAATGCCAACATGCTGAACATTGATGTCCGACGGTCATGTCCATTAAAAACGTCATTAACGCACAACAAATCTTCCCTATAAAAGGCTGGCAGGTGGTTTTCAACAAGCAAACAATTCATACACGAACTGCACACTTCTCTAGCTCAAAAACCCTCAAGTTTTCTCTGAAAAATTCCTTGGTGTTCATACTTGTTCTCGTTCGTCGGAACAATTCGTTTGAGTGCTCAAACAATTGTTCGTAGTCATCGTATCCTGAGAAACGATCGTTGGAACACTCCTAGCACCCCAGGAGGTAATGAATACGTTTTAAGGACATCGTGTGTTGCACGAGATTTGGCTAGATTCTGCTTCATCTAATTTCTGTTTTCTTTAGTCATTTTAATTAATTAATTTTATTAATTATTTTCTTTGTTTTTCTAAACATACCCAACGACATCCCCACTCACCTAATCACCTTCCTCCATGCCTCTCCCCACATATCAATGCAAAAACTAAATCCCGCTTGCTATACAATCAGGTCAAATGTAGTATCAATATAATCCTTGAAAACTAATCGGTAACACTCGACGAGTTGGAAATCATGCACCGGCAATAGTGGTGAAATTATTCTTAGTGTTAAAAATCATTCTAGCTATTTCTAGCGTCTTAGAAACCGGAAGCAAATATTTCTAGCAAATATTTCATCAATTTAAGCAAATTGGATCAATTTTATTGTTACAAAATGAGCTCTAAAATAGCTTTAGCCTTTATAGTGAAGGACCAGTACATTGTCGCATCAAAAGACAAGCATGCGATCAGAAGTCAGAACTTGGTCTGCCCAAGTCCGAGAAAAAATCCATAGCATGGCTCGAAAGGATAATTGGTGTTTCCAGTTGTCTTTGCATATATATAGTTAAAGTATTTCATTTAACAGTAGTTTTATTTCTTGTTTGTTAAGCGATTTATTTGGATTACTGCCCATTTACTTTTACGAGAAGAAATTTCTCTGTCTAATCGTATCTAGTTAAAACTTTCCACGATTTCTACCTTATGTCGTTTTCAATATACTCCCTTCGTTTCTAAAAGAATCTCACACTTTCCTTTTTGAGATGTTTCAAAAATAAAGTTACACTTCCTTTATTTCCTTATTTGGCAAAGAAATCTACATCCAAACAGTGCGAAATGGTGCCAAACCATGCCAAACAACCTCTAAACAGTGTTTTCTTAATAATCGTGAAGTCAAATCGTGACTTTCTTTTGGAAACGGAAGGAGTATAATCTTATTTCGTTCAGATTAATTGTCTTCCCATTGTTGCCAATACTTAAAAGATCAGAATTCAGAATAGTAGAATACGTAACCATTATTTTGTTTTGTAGACTATTTTAATTTATAGTATTAAGTATGCATATTTTATCCATGTACATTAAACAAACGAATTCAAAACCAATTGAATCATTGTATCCATGTAGTAAGACAAATTTTTCATTAAAAAACTTCTGGTTTGCCTCATTATTGGAGTATCACCCGTAAAAAAGGTGTTGATGATATACTCCTTTCTCACAACCCGTAAAACTCTTCTTCTTTCTCTTTATAGAAAGTCTATAGAAAGTTCCCTGTGGTTATTATTTATTTATTTATTTATTTTACTTAACCACAATCATATATTTCCACTTTATTTTAATTTTCTTAAATTTCGATCTAAGTTAAACCCGGAAAGAATTTTGCGGGACAGAGAGATTTCTTTTTAGCTTTTAGCTTGAAAAAAACTGAAATGATTGATTTTAAGTGATTGTTTTTGTTTAAATTAAGTATTTCAAAGTTAAAAGAAAAATACGTGAAATAGGAGTAAAAAGTTTGAAATTTTCAAAATAGGACTCACATGTTTTTTGATTCATAAAATATGAGTAATAACTACCATGTTTGGAAAATATTGTCATGTTTAAAGTCTGATATTGTCAAAACATGACAATAATTAGTCATGTTGGGAATAAAAACATCATAATCATTTTTTGAAATATACAAACATTTTTAGTGTTATTTAGAGTAATTTTCCAAAGCTAAAAGTTAGAAGCATGTATCAAATTAATGACTTTTAATTGGAAATTTTAGATCATGCTGATCTTGAACTTTTGTGGGCCCAGAATATAATCATATAACATGAAACTTGAAAAGATATTATATAAATAACTTACAGAAGTTTGCTATAAATACAAAATGCAATATATAAAGTTATGTGCATTTATCAATAAAAATATAGGGAAAATGGTCAAATAGACCCCTCGAACTAACTTAAAATTTGAAAATCACTCATATTTAGGAGGCTCTGTCCGGACGTCGCCATTTGGGGCGGTTCCCGGTTGAATTTTTTGATGAAATTTTTTGAGCATCTTCTTCATTAAATCTAGTTTACCCATACCAATTTTCAGATACAAATTCAACCAGGAAGACAGTCAAATGATTTTCTGAAATGTACTACGCTGTTTAACTGCACAGTTATCTTCAAAAAAGTTCATCAAAATTCCACCGGCAACCGCCCCAAATGGTGACGGCCGGACGGAGTTTTCTATATAAGGGGTGATTTGCAATTTATAAGGGGTCTATTTGACCTTTTTCCCTAAAAATATATAATAATTCATAAAGAGCATAAATAGATGTTTCTTTTTTTGGCAAAAGGTAACTTAAATCATATTAAAATCGAGAACCAGATACAAAGTCGCCACATTAAAGGCTACACTGGAATGAAACACAGAGCTGGAAGATGGCTGGAATGCGACCCAACTCGCTAACCCCACAAGGTGGTAGACTCTACTAATAGCGATGCTGCACCTGCTACTAAAATGATTGGTAAAAGTAACAAATGAGTTCTGGGAAAAAGAGCAAAAATAAGAATAATGAAATCCAGTTTTTCCAGCCACTGGCAAGGAAAGTGCGGTTTGTCCAGCCCCCGCCAAAGGTTCATCTTCTTTGTCATAGAGGTCTCCCATCACTGGCTTGACAGAGTCAACCGCCACTTCTTCTCTACTTGCAAGTTTTTCCTCTTGCTTGACCATCGAACCCTTCTCATCTTCAAGAGTTTTAGTAAATATGACAGGTGGTGCCTTCATCAGATTATAAAATACTCCGTATAATATTTCCGTTGATAAAGTTAATAAACGAGAATTCTTTTATTTCTTTCTCTAGTTTATCTACAGTGGGTCCATCGGTAGTCTGACAGAAGCTGAGAGAGACTTGGTATATAGTGCAAAAGTTGAGCTTGAAGTAAGGCCGACGAGTAAACAAAAAACAAAAAAGAGAAATGCTAAGCACATTAAATGTGAGTACACCTGCAAACTACTCTATGATCGAAACTCTACAACGTATGAAAAGATGACATGTGGTGTCGTGATATGCTTTAGGAATCAGATCGTACCGGGTGGTTGGACCTGGAACCTGGCCACCCGGCCAATTATTCAAAATTGCTCTTTGTACACACAATTGTACACACCATATACACACTACTTAAACCCCAAAAAAATTACCCCCCTCTTTTCCCTCACCTCACTCCCCCACCAACCCACGCTTCTCACTCGCTGCCCCACTCCTCGAAAATCAAAACTCCCGGTTCTTCTTTCTCTTCTTCCCTTCAACGAGCCTAAGAAAACTTCATCCTCCTCAAAAATCAAACATGCGGCGACCTTGAGACTCTAAACCCCTGTCCCCCTTCCTTCTCTCCCACACCCCCACGAAACTGGCACCCCCACTTACACTCTCTTCTTCATGATTGATTCCAGGTGTGAAGAAACAGCCTTCTCCCTGCGGACTGAGGTTGGACGACGACGCACACCAATGGTGTGAACCCCACTGACAGATATGGCGGAGAGGTATGTATCATTTCCCAACCTTTGTTTGTTTTTAGGTTTATAATTTAATTTGTTGGGTTTTTTGAAATCTTCGAACATGTGTCTGTGGGCTGGTTTAAAGACTGTTATATTTGGAAAATATTATCTCTGTATCAACATTTATGTTTCAAATTTTGTCTATGATAGAGTGTAAATCCTTTATTGATGTGCGCAAGGTGTCTATGTGGTGGTGTAAAGTTCATTTGGAATGTTATTTATTGCCCGTGAATGAAATTATGTCTATGACATACTGTAATTCCTTTGTTGATGTTTATAAATTGTCTGTGTGGTGGTGTAAAGTTCCTTTGGAGTGTTATTTATTGTCTGTGAATATACTTTAGGTCTATGAACGTCACTTTTTGTCTGTCTGCCCTAATAATTTATTGTTCTTCCAACTGCCAGAGCCCTGAAGTTACGCATTTCCAGTCATGACTACTTCCTTGCCCAGTATTCTGTGTGTTCAAACTTTAGAAATGCTGCCAAATGGGTACAAAGTAGCTTATCTGCAACAGAAATGGAAATTTTTCGCGCTTTACCATGGGGCCATCTTATTGACATCTCACCCACACAGTTCTCTGGACAAGTCTTTCAAATGCTGGCCTTACACCTTGTGCAGGAGCAACCTGATGAGGAGCTCTGGTTTGCCATTGGGGGTACACTGTATAAGTTTACTTATGTGGATTTTTGCCGCATAAGTGGATTACCAGCGGGTGCTGAACCATTAGCTGGTGCGGGTGATGTTTCAGGACAAGAATCTGGCGATGAAGCTGAACCAGTGGGGACCATTGCTAAGAAGTATTTAGGTGGCTCAGTCGACATTACACACATCAATTTGAAGAACATATTTGAGAAACTGAAACTTTCCAAACGTCGTGATCAGATGGATGTTATAAAGTTGGCCTCCCTGTTCTATATTAAGTGTGTGTTGCTTGCTAAGGACAACACTACGAGGATAAATGCATCCTCTGTCAGATTGGTGAATGATTTAGAGGAATTCAAGAAGTGTCCGTGGTCACTTCGTTCGTACAAGTTATTGGTGAGTCATATGAAGGGCCTGATGGATGGTCAACCTCAGAAGTTCAAGGACCGGAAGGAGAACAATCCAAACTATAGAAATGCAAAGCTATCTGTCTACAGTTTTCCACTAGTTTTCAGGTATATATGACAACTTCCCTATTGTGCTTATTTATTTGTTCATTAATAGGAGAACAATATCTATTACTTATTTCTTATTGTGCGAACTAGAAATGTATTCTTTGGTTATTATAGGTGTGGGCTTACGAAGAAATTAATGAAGTTGGGAAGAACTTTGCAAAAAAAGTGGGTAATCATGATTTGCCATTACTCAATTGGAAGGCCGAACGGAAATTTCATTACTCTAAACTTAGACGAGTAGTATTTCCAGAGGTAATGTGTCATTGATTTTGTTAATGTTTTGTATTTTTATCATTTGACAATAAAGCTTCAATGATTTTTAAGGAGGTGGAAAAACTTTCTGATTCAGTGGGGGGATAGGAAGAAGAGAACCAAGAAGAAGAAATGACCGAGGAAGACCTGCGCTTGTTCGAAAAGGTTAAAATATTGGAGGAGCTTTAGGATCTAAGGAAGTATGTTGAAAGGGTTGAAAACAAAATCACTTCTGTTGAAGAAAGTCTTTCAGAAATAAGGGTACTACTTGTGAAGTTGATTGATAAACCGAACCCATCGGTTGAGGAAGAGGTATGATCAAACTTACTTGTGTGTGTAAATTTTGGCCATTTGCATTATCTACGCGGCTAACACATTAAACTATATGCATTGTAGGTTGATAAGAATGCGACTGGGGATGAACCAGTAGCTACCAGTGAAGATGTTTTGAAGAGAGGTGTTGTTAATGATGACGGCGTTGCTGATGATGCGGCTGGGGGTGACAGTGAGAAGAACGTACAAGAAGAGGTCCCACAAACTGTGATGGAAAATGAGAGTTTAATTAATCATGATGCGGATGAGGTTGACGGTGAAGACAAACTGGTTTTGGAGGAACTCAGCAACCCCTTAAATGGTGAAGATGGCACACGGGCAGATGTAATCATCTCGACTGTAATGACTGAGGTATGGGTTTTTATCTATCTTTGTTGTTATTTTTGTAGAATTAGAAATGAAATTGTTAATTATTGCATAGGTGAATTGGGAAATTGAGCAGAATAAGGTAGCAAGCAACTTCCCAGATCTTATGATGCCTTTAAATGAGGTAAAGTTTTTTTTTCATGTTTGTGATTATTTGTGTATGAGTCTCAATGTTGGTGTCCATTAATAGTGTTTGTCTGTGTGTACAAAGATATGACTATGTATTATATTTGTTGTGAATTGGAAAACTTACCTCCGTTAACAGCCCCTGATCCATTTGAAAATTTGGATTGGGATGGAGATGATGTTGGGAGTGCGCCGATAGATGTTGAGGTCGTACAAGTTGTGAGTAAGAAACAAGTGAAAAAAGAAAACGTTGTCGTTCCAAATACCATTGCTCACCATATGTTGAGTCCATTGTCTCCATTCAACCTGCTATATTTCACCCAACTGATGATCATATTGCAACTCTCAAAGCTTGGATAGAAGAAGCTAACACTGTTGAACCTAAGACGGTTGTTCTTAATCTGCCATCATTTGATGAAGTGGACAGAGACTTTTTTCGTGAGCTCGTGGAACCAGATGAGTCTTTATGGTCCTATGTGAGTGCCTTCTCATTTTCATATATTGTCATGTATAAATATATGTTTGACATTTTTTTTTGTTAGCATATGGATGCTCTTTCCTACCTGCTTCTGAGAGATTGTGTGTCGGACAAGCCGTATAAGCTCATAAGCCCTTACTTTGCGGTATGTGTTGTTTATCTCTACCAAACTTACATAATTATTTAAGATCACATTGGCATTATAACTTTTTGTTTGCGTAGCATCAAGTCATGAATAAGGATTCTAAGGATGAGAATGCCTGGATTGCTGATAAGTGTCTACCTAGTGTTGACTGGAGAGGTTTAGAAAAAGTAAGTGATTACCGTCGTTATTCAATTGTCTGTGTGTTAACTATTTTTTGTTTGTATACAAACATAGCGCATAAGTTTTTTTATGTATTGTGTTTAGGTTTTTGTACCTTTGAATGTTGATGGGATGCATTGGGTTTTAGAAGAAGTTGACCTACATGCAAAATAGGTCGTGTCAAACGTTTTGACATCTCCAAATTCTTTGTACGCATATCTACACCTATTGTCGGCCTAAAAGATATTACGCCTTGACTCCTCATCTAAGTCAAGTGCAAAGAAAAATCCGGGGCATTGGGCTTGCATTTTAGCGAAGAACCCTTGAATGGAAATTGCAACGCCACTACCTAACCTAAGTTTTCTAACTTTATCTATATAGTTCCTACAATCTTTTTCAATGAAGCGAAGTTGATCATACCCACCGGCCTCAACAACGGCCGCGGTGAAGCTTTTATTAAGTCGTATTCTTGCAACATCATTTATTGCAAGTTTCCTCGCCATTCCATGAGTTAACCTCCGATTGCATCGGAATAGACGAGCCTTTGTTGGACTCGTAGGATGTGAATGTTGTAAAAAGACTTTTGAAATTTGCCAAACTCTCGCATAATTTACGCGCGCTCGTAGTTTAGCTTCACACCCTATTTGCATTGAAGGTTGGGGCTTCAATTGATTTTTTGACTGACTACATCTCCGACCAACTTCCGGATCTTGACCAACTTCATAGTCTAGCTTCCGGATTTTTTGACTGAAATTTGCCAAACGCTTCCCATATGGTTTGTAAAAATCATAGACTGCTTCTGTGCTTTCAAACGCCATACCAACTTCCGGATCTTGACCAACTTCATTCTCTTTTGGCAGCCCTTCTCCATCTGTTATGTTACACGATTCATTTATTAATGTGTTCTAACCAACTTACGATATCACACAGGCAGTGTTATATGCACACAGACAATTCAAATCGTTTACAAACTAGTTGAAATACTACACAAACAAACAAATCTTCCACTGTCTACATACACAAACAAACACACACATAAACAAGTGACAGCTCCTACGACTTGCATGTGTCACCAAACGTATGCATGCGTTCAAAACAAGATAGGGGCTACACACACTGATATTTGCACACACGGACAATTCATTTGTGTCACAGACACGTTGAACACTACACAAACAAACATGTTTATGACATTTTGCATACACTAACAACAACCCACATAAACAAGCATAACCCCACTAAAACCCACATAAACAAACAAATTAACACATAAACAACTTCCACCTCTAACAACATGCCTGTGAGAGTAAACATATTTCAAGGTTCAAGAAGATTAAGTCACTATACCAAGGTCACAAACGACGTCCATGGACGCCGGCGATGTCAGCCCTTCATCTACTTCGGCTAGGTCCGTCTGATCGTCATCTTCTCCGGCTCCAAGAGTGCGTCCAACACCATCTCCAACTCCGGCCTTATCTCCAGACCCCTCTCCTCCTCCGACCGTCATTCCATCACCTTCTCCAGCTCCGACCGTCTGTCCTTAAATTTCTCCAGCTCCGGAAGACATCCCAACTTCACCACCTCCGGGATTCTCATTCCACGAAGCCCAAAAATCGTCGAAGTTAGTCACCAACGTGTCGTCGTACAGAAAATCCATCGAAGAGGAAGCTTGTTTGTGAAGGTCGATGAAGGTGGAAGCTTGTTTGTTGAATTCGTTGAAGGGAAGAAGAGAAAGGAGGGGGGAGCGAGTGAGAAGCGTGGGTCGGTGGGGGTGTGAGGCGAGGGAAAAGAGGGCGGTAATTTTTTGGGGTTTAAGTAGTGTGTATATGGTGTGTACAATTGTGTGCACAAAGAGCAATTTTGCCAATTATTTGGTCCTATTGACTATTAAACCGCTAATATACTTAAACCCGAAAATAACCAACAACCCGTGTGATCCAGTTGTCTTCAGTAAGAAACTTGCACAAGTGATTTTGGTCATTTTGAATAGTAATGCGCTCACCCGGCCGAGGGCCCCAGACGAAGGTGCAGTCAAGAAGTTGTTGACCCCGTAAAATTGTCTTGTGAGTACGTTGATCGTGATTCCATATCCATATACACCATCAAATTTGTGTGCGTGTGCACGAATTTGAAGACTGAATGGGCAAACAAATTATAAAAAGTATGGAAATATAAAAGTCTATTAAATGCTTTAACAACAACAACCAAGCTTTAGTCCCAAAAGATATTGGGGTCGGCTAACATGAATCAATAGATGATATTACCAACAAAAGGAAAAGAAAGAAAATAAAGAAAAAAGATAAGCTACTATAAAAAAGATAATATAAAAAGAGATGAATATACATAAAGATATTAAACTAAAAAAGAACACAAATAATGTTTATATATAAGGACGATAAAAGAATAAAAAAAAAGAAAAAAGATGAGGGAAAAAGATGATACGAGATCACTGCTCCACATGAATACCCGGCTTTCACTTTGCTCTCTCCAAAGTCATACTCTCATCCAAACCAAGAAGAAGCATATCACTTCAAACTCCTCTAACCCTCTTCTGTTTGGACCTTCCTCTCCCTCTCTTCCATGTCTCTTCTCCACACATCTCAACTCGTCTGACAGGTGCATCACTCGATCTTCTACGCACATGACCAAATCACTTTACATTTTGTTAAATGCTTTAACAAAATGTAAAAATTTAAATTTTAAGATATATAATGACTTAAGGTCCTTTTAACAAAAAAAATATAATGACTCAATGATACTTAAAATTACCATTATAAGTTTGGCTGTTTGACACATAATAACCATAAAGTCTCCATAAATTACCTCTTAAGTGGATTTATCACATAGATTTTCATTTTAAATACATTGAAAGACACATAAGGAGTATATATTAATTAATTAATGGGTCCTCTAACATAGTAGGCCAAGGGAAAAACTCATCCCAACGACACCCAACTCATAATGATTTAGATTTTCATAAGAAAAAAAAAACACAATCACTATTAGAATTATTCGATTTCGGCCATGTACAAACTAACTATACGACCATGTACAAACTGACTATACTTGAACTTCCTTTACACTACTCCGTATGTACTTATTATGACTGCAGATTGAAATTA